TGAACATATTTTTAAGTCAACTTAGTAGGTTTTTTCTATTTAGATAAATAGTGGCTCAAGCTTCGTCAGTCTGCATCTACTGAGATATTTCAGAAAATGTGATATTTTTCTTTAATTTCAACATTTTTTTGTATCGAAAACGAAATGAACTATGACACCATATTTCTTGGTCAACTTAGTGAGTTTTAACTTCTACTTAGGTAAATCAGTGACCCTAGTTTTGTCAGTTTACATCAAACATATTCAGAGAAATTTCAGAGAATAATTTCTATTATAAAAATATATAGGGTGGTACGAATTTTATGCAGGGAACTTCGAGGGCATCAGATAGATCTCTTTAAAATAATATGTATTTGCCTTATAAACATAGGTCAGTTTTTGTTTATATCTCCGGAATGTATTAACCGATCTCAATAAAATTTAGTACAGATAATATACGATAGTAGGCCCTACACTCCCTAAAATATAAGCTTTAAAGGTTCAACCAGTGGTGTACAACTGGGGTCACCCTTTTTTTTAAATCTACGCCACTGCATTTTTTACAAGTCATTGTAACTGATTTAAATTCTAATCCACAAAATTAACGTTACGTATAGTTACAACAATTGTTCAAAATGCGAACCACCCACATCGATACATTTTTGACATCTTCTATTAATGGAATTAATTGAAGCTAATGTGGTGGTTTTCTTTTAATTCATTACACCCGTCTTCTATTCATTGCAGTAGTTGTGGTCTTGTATCTGTTGGTGTAGAATAAACTTTACTTTTCAGATAACCCCAAACATAGAAGTCCAAGGGGTTTAGACCTGGCAATCTAGCTGGCCAAGACACTTGATCCTTTGCACCATTATGATTGACATTGTCATTTGGTCTTCTACCTGTCCATCGCCCCATATAATTTTAAATAAGCCATTTCATATATTATTCTCCCAGAATGCGCAGGAGCACCATTAATCGTCGTATATTTAATGGAACATTCTCTAATAATTCAAATAGATGGTTTCCTAGAAAGTTTAGAAAGGTCCACAAACTTTATTGCGAATTATTCCGAGCCACTCGTTCACAGAAAGTTCGTGTTGAAAAAATACGCAGATTGTGAAAATTTGCTTTGGTAAATGTACATTTATTATTATTTTGAATTAAGTTAGGCTTCCAGGGGTAAACTAAAAAGCGTAAGGAACTCTACCTCACAGGTGGTGTGGAAACGAGTGTAAAGAATTTTGTTAATGTGCTTACAAATTCCACTTACTTAACATAAATATTCTTGTAATAGTATGGTTAGAAATATCTGCACAAGAGGATTGTATTGGTATGAATAACTTGAAAACGGCGAGTCTTATGGAAAAAGTTCAAGTTACCTTTTTTACGTATTTTGTGCATTAGAATATAAATCCGTTACAATAACTTGTAAAAATGCAGTAGCGTAGGTTTTTTTTATAAAAAAGGAGATAACTCCTGCACAGTTGTACACCAATGGTTGCACTTTAGAGCTCATATTTCAAGGAATGCAAGGCCTACTATCATAGATTATCTGTACCAAATTTTATTGAGATCGATTAATAGATTCCTGAGATATAAACAAAAAATCATTTTTTTTAACAACTTCAACACCCTGTATCTCTAAAACGGGGCCAGACCTATATTTATAAGGCAAACACATATTATCTTAAAGAGATCTATCTACCCTCGAAGTTTCCTGCATAAAATTCGGACCACATACATATACAGTTTGCAAAAAACATACTCGAAATCATATACTTATAAAAAAATTAAAATTAAAGTAAGTACATAAAGACAAAAACTTTAATGAAATCCAGATAAATATAGGTATATCTGGAAATCCAAAGTCACAATCATATAAACACAGACAACTTCTTACTTTAGAGTTTACAGTTTCGACATACTTTTGAAACTCAATCGCCTAAATCCTTTTCCATGCATGTTCCGTTCATGTTTAAATTCGCTTAATTTTATACAAACAGCACTTTTTATTGTCCGATATCAATTTGGGTTACAACGAAACGTAAATAGAGATGATCTTACACAAGTCATTAGTACCAAAGAAGAAGCTCTACCTTATCAAAAATAAAAATGTCCCGATGTTACTGACCCAGTCCAACTAGCTTGGAAAAATAAACACATAAAACAGACAAGAGCATGGCGATAAAACTAATTTCGTTAGCGGTTACTTATTTTTAACGAATGTAAACATGCCGATGTACATAGTAGTCGTTTTCGTTTATTGATTTAAAATATTCAAATTTGGCCAATCAAACTGTTGTTGAATTTGATAAGTATCAGTAAAATTCATAAATGTACACTTTTTTGTTGCGGAAGTTCGATATTTCAAAAATAAACAGGTTTCTAGGAATTTTAGACAAAAAATATAAATTTCTAGAGTTATATGAGTAGTATATTTTACTTCTAAAGTGATAAGCAGTTAAATAAAAATACAGAGGAAAGATCTGTGTACATACGAATATGATGATAATTTTTCAAATCAAAATACATATAAGCTATAGTTGGGCAACTCTTAAAACATTGTCGGTTCAAACTGCCACAAACAGACTGTGTGATTATTTAATAACGTCATCTAATAATCGTTAAATAAAAAACAATTTAATTTAGTGCCAATGTAAATGAAATTCCAGTTGATGTGACGATATATTGCGGCTCCACCTTTAAAAAGCCTCTTTGTTTATCTGGTCGTGCTCTAGAGATCTAGTAAGTTATTCATCAATTAAAGCGTTTATTGTGTTGTACAAAGGCTGATAAAAAGCCGAGAAAATGTGTAAACAAACATATGGAAGCATAGTATCCAGAGTATAACAAACATCTTCATGAGTATCTACAAGTTGTCAATTTTTAATAATGGTGTACCTCAGGTATTCGTACTTTAGCCACTGTTTTATGTACATAAATTAATGATTTCGTATAAAAAAGTTCCTGCAAAGATGTGTCGGAAAACGCCTCGTTTTCAAGATTAAAACAAAACATTAGTGCGACTAAGCAATATTTGTTCGCAATTTTGTTTTGTTCCAAAATTTAAAATTGAACTAATCGCTATTATACTAAAGGCTTTAGAAAATGTTTCTTGTTTGGTAAATAATAAAATATCATACCAAACTGAGAAATATCGCTAAAAGTGTCATAAGATTAAGCGATTTTTGAAATAATAAGTAATCACCTTATTCAGAATAAAATGAGAATAGTCCAGTTGGTAGAGGTTCGGCCTGTGTCAAACCTTGACAACCCGGAAATATCTACACAGGCCTACTGTAAATGATGAATACAATAACAGGCTAATTTGCTGACAAAGTATTTTATCAGGAAAAAAAGTTATTAACAATTTAATCGTGAACATTTTTTTTTAGTAGTTTTCTTTAAATAACTCAGCGGGATGACTTTGTACGAAAAAATGTTTAGGACATGATTTTGTTCGTAATAAAAATGATTACGAAATTTGAATTTGTAATAACAAAGCCGTGAGATTGAAAAAACGGTATAAAACGTCAATTTTTTAAAGTTGCTGTAAAAATGTCAATTATAAACACAATGTGATAAAATTTTCGAAAACTATAGTTCAATATATATACAATAATGACGCTAAAGCCGAAAATCAGGAGAGCGAAACTTTTTGTTCTATAAGGCGTTATACATTCAACCTAGTTTTATACGTCACCGTTTTTTTAATTTTTGGGCGTATATTTATGTATATTTATAAAACACGTACGATTTTGTTTTATGTTGATATGTTGAATAATGTACGACTACGGCTAACAGGCGCAAAATGTTAAGTAGCTTAGGATCTAAACGATGAAAATTAAATATTTTTTTTTAATTGTAGGTAATTGTGCTGGTTAATCTACCGTGATGGAATATTTTATAAATATACATATATATTTTTCCAAAAATTAAAAAAACTGTGACGTATAAAACTAGGGTGACGTATAAAACCTTACCAAAGCTGCAAAAATTGCAAATTGCTTTTGGTTTCTGCATATTTACACTATGTGCATACCAAATTTCAAGTGTCAGCAAAACTTCCAACAAATTTGGCAGTTTCGAGTTTCAGATGCCGATGAATGTATAACACCTTATAGAACAAAAAGTTTTGCTCCCCTGATTTTCGGCTTCAGCGTCATTATTGTATATATATTGAACTATAGTTTTCGAAAGTTTTAGTCATCCCGCTGAGTTATTTAAAGAAAACTACTAAAAAAAAATGTTCACGATTAAATTGTTAATAACTTTTTTCCTGATAAAATACTTTGTCAGCAAATTAGCCTGTTATTGTACTCATCATTTAAAATATTCCTGTGTAGTTATTTCCGATTTATCAAGGAAATGTCACCAACAGTAAGTTTTCGGCCTCTGCCGACTGGTCTAGAATTATTTACAGTCTTCCTCAACTGTTTTATTTTGCAGCTTGAAATAAACTATAACTTTACATTAATTTTGAACACATTGTTTATTGAAAATGAAGCGTGTCCTCACATATTTATACGAACTTTTTAGTTAATTAGTAAAATATGAAACAAAATACAAGTTTTTTTGAGATTAATTTTGGAAGGAATGTAATATAACTTCATACAGAAATTTTTTTATAAAATATAAAGATCCGTACTTCTTTGGGGATCTTAGAGAAATAAAAAAGTAATATAACCTTATCACCTTTTCAGTTCAAAAAGGAACAGAGAGGCAAATAATCCTATACCTCGAAAATGATATTCAAGTATTTTTGTTTTATTTCCTTGTAGCACGCACAAATTATTGTCGAGAAAATTTACACGATTGTTCATTGTGAAAAAATACTACTACACAATTTGTGGCCGTCCCCAATTTAGCAACAATCTTCCGCGAAACTTTCTTCGAAAATTAATTTTCAGGCACAAAAATAAATACTTATTGCTTTGTATTTCGAATATCTCACTAGTTAAAAGCAAAAACCTCTGCTTGCGCGCGCAATCTTAAGCGATGTATATAACCGATGACGAAGAATTATAGTGTCCCACAATCAGCGATCGAACAAGAAAGCAGAACGCTGCCGTAAGTCCGGTCGGTAGTTAAGGAAAGTTTTTTCAGTTTTCGAAAATGGCCTGCTTGAGACACATGGTATTCGCGGCGGCGGCGGCTGTCCTGTTGGTTCACGTGTTTGGGGCGGCTACCATGGTCAAGGTAAGTCGAATTTTTCATTTGGCATGCGAAGTGGTCGAGTTTTACGCTAAAAAAGTTTCACTAATCTGCATATTCGGCGCGACAAAAAGTGTAGGAAGGCAATTTTTTATATTAAAGAATTTCTAGAGCAGGCATATTTTTTATAGCTCATTTTTTCGAATTTCGTAAATTCATGGTCTAAAAGTGTCTAATATTTAGCGATTATAAAGTTCTACAACCAAAATTAATAATTTTTCGAAGAATGTAACATATTAATTTATCTAAAAAGGATGCTGTATTGGAGTAATATACATTCATATATTACTGAGTATAGTAATAGTAAAACAATTTTTAATGACAAAAATGATAAACTGATAAAAGTAATAACGCATGTTTTAAGAATTATGACATCAACTTACGTACTTAATTTACTAAACTTTCCAAAGTATTAAATATTTCTCTATTACTCTCATTATTTAGCCATTATTATATACAGGGTGAGTTTTTTCGATGATTAGTGTAGGGATCTGGAAAAGTAGCAGAGATATAAAAAAGCTTAAATGAGGAAAGGTATGCAGTTTTATGATCCTTAGTAAATGTTACTTTTATTATAGTTAAAAACGGCTGCAGTTCTCCCATTTTTCAAAATAACTGTACCAAATATTATATCGTTGAAAAGCATAAAAAATACATTTTTTTCTAGCTCATATGGTTTACATTTAAAAAACTTGAAATTTATCTTATAATTTGAAAACGAAAGTGCACACGAACAAATTGATCACACTGTCTTATTAACACTGCAAAAATCTGAAACTTTGTAATTTAATTTTTTTTTTGTAAAATAAATATCAACGGAGCTACACGCACCTGAAGGAATTGACCTAATTCGAATTTTTCAAAATATCTAGTCGGCCAGTTTTTTCAAAAAATAGAAGTAACATTTAATAAGGATCATAAAACTGCACATATTTCCTCATTTAAACTTTTTGTATCTCTGCTACTTTCCCAGATTCCTACACTAAACATCGAAAAAAACTCACCCTGTATTAAACAAGAAGTTACATACCTTAGATATTTTTTAATCTTTTGCTTATGTGGGTAGAAATTTTGAATACAATTCTGGCACAAAGTTATTTTTAATAAATAAAAAACGGTTATATTTCTAGCTCTTTAAACTTTGTTACAAATAAAACATATTTCAATAGGAATCGTCATAATCTAGTTTTTTTAGTTTTCCAAAGAAGTTTATACAAATTCAAATTTTTAAATTTTTATATTCAGGGTGTTAGATTTAACATTAGTCCCGGGAGTTTGTCAGTGATTTTGAAAATAAATAAAGTTTTTCATATAATCATTTATAAACTATTTTTTATATTCTCCCAAGTACCTACTAGTAGCAAATAAACTTAACATTATTTTCCTAAAAATTAATTCAAATAAGAAATTAGTTTGACTCATTCCATCAAAATTGCGATTTAAAGCAAAATAAAAAGCGAATTTTCTGTGAAACTGTGACAGATCAAAAATATCAAGAGACTTTTTCGCTCAAAACAGAAAGGTTTATTTAAAAATTTGAAACATTTTTACTTAATACAGGGCCCTACTATTTCTTTTGATTAAATTAATTAAAACTATATTGCCCACACTTCCGCTACAGGTTATTTAGAGAATTCAATATTATCGCACAGGAGAGAGCAACCTGTCCAATTATGACATTTACCTAAATTTCAACATCTCCATTAGTCTGGAAAATACAAAAAAATAGTAGAATTTTTTTAATATTCGTAAGACCCGTAATTATATTAAAAAGAACTATGTTAAATCTTTACTGTGTACTACATTTAATTGGATCAAATTATTATGGACACTTTTTAATTGTTTTCTTTTGTGTAAAAAAATGTCGAAAATGGCTATCAGGTACTTCAAAAATCGAATGATTTTTGTTTATAATATCAGTGAACATCTGTCAATATAATTAAGTGAAAGCTGTTTTACATTGACAATTTTATTGATCAATTAATTCATGAAGTCGCTTTATCAAGAAATTGGACAAGTGTAATGCACCAAATCAGCTGTCAAATAACTTTATCAATTTATTCATCAAGTTCTTGACGAATTAGAGCATGTTCTAATTTTCGTCAATTTCTTCGTGAAGTTCGGAAGTACCAACCCAACAGATTTCCAGCCTCAAATCAGATGAGGTTATGTTATTAGAATATGTAAATAATTGTGTGGCGTCGTGCTAGTTTTGCATTGTTTTTAATGATTTTTGAAATTTATTTGCTTCTTTGATTCATTGGTAGAACTGATTGATACGTCAAAAAACTTGACAAAGTCTGTAGCAGTGTAAAACCACTGTTTACCAATAAATTCGTGAATTAATTGATGAAGAACTTCGTCAATTTATTGATGAATAAATTGTCAATGTAAAACAGCTATGATAAACTAATGTCTAATTCGTTTTTTGGAAACACTATTAATAAATGTGATCAAACTGTTTGGCATGTAAATAAATTAATCTAACATGTCACATATTAGTTGGAAATTAATTGTTGGTTTGCTATAAAAGCGTGTATTTACAAACGAATAATACGAAGTACGCACTATCTCCTTTTACTTCACGTTTTTAGAATAAGTAGTAGTAGTAAATTAATAACCTAATCCTTTAATTTGCTAATAATGCCAACTAACATTAGAAAAGTACAGGTATTGCTATTTCCTAACGTTAAAAAACCAAAAACTAACTGGGGTGACTCTGTACTTTATACAGGGCGGAAAAATACCTAGAGTCAGCTCTGATATATCAATATAAATATTTATGTATGCAATAATTGTTTGGTATTTCAATAGATTTTAGCAAAAACAGTACGCAATGCGCAAAAATCTCTTATTAACCAAGTACTAAACATAATACGAAATTACTATTCAAATATTTTAGTCGTATAAATAAGCAATTATTTCCTGTTATGTGTATTTAAATTTGAAATTTTGTTATTGAACGAGATGACGCAAAATGAAAACGAAACATGATTGTCCATTTACAATATAAGAACCTACTTTTAATATACTTCATACATTTTTGATACAGAATATTTATAATACTACTTCTGTTAAGTTAGTGACGCACAAGAACGATCAAATACAAAGTTTCAAGTACAGACTCTGTTGAAAACTGCACAGTTGTTTTTTGCTTAGTTTTTTTGCAGTAATAACACAGGAATAATATGCTTGTTGCACAGTTTTATCGTTTAAGTGTTTATATGACATGTAGATACACTGTCCAGACTTTCCAATTTACAAAATTGTTACAAACTGAAAAACTGCTAATTTTACAGTATATACCTAGTATTGTATAAACCGGAAATTACAGTTAAAACTGCTGTTCTACCTCGTCCATCGGCTATTCTGAGAAGGTATGCTCTGTCGAATAAAACAACACAGTCCTGTAAGTAAAAAATACACAGTCCCTGTGCAGTTGTAATAAACTAACACAGTAGATGAAAGTCTTATCAGGATTAATCTACTCGTGAATCTAAATCATCTGTCAACAAAAATCGTGGTATGTGATATTCTGGTTTTCAAAATTCCAGCAGGCTTGTGCCGTATAAAGTACAACTTATTTTTGTGATTTGTCAATATTTCAACATACGATAAAATGCACGCACGACGGCGACGGGGCAAGTTCACGGCAAATAATAAGTGGTAAGCACGTGAAATGTATCTGTTTGTTTTAGAACTTATTTGAAAATAATTGTTGTTTATTGACGGAGAAAATTTCAAGCACACAATGAATTGGTAAATAAATAACAAATCCGTCGTTTAATCTGGTAAATTATACAGGGTGATTCACAACTTATCCAAAAAATTTGGGAATAGATGCGGCATGAGAAATTGAGTCAATATTGTAAAAAAAAATTTATAAAATCCTTATAGTTTCTGAGAAAAAAATTATTGAAGTTATAGCACATTAAACCACTACATAGCTGGACAACTGTAGTCTCTAGCGTCATTCGCAATACGCGTGGAGAGCCATATGACTCCTAATACTGAAATCCGTCGTTGCGGTAGTTTTTACCTGTTATCTGTGGTATTTACATCAGTTTTTTAGTAGTTAGTGTCAAAAATGGCTTGCGTGTATATCAACTCAGAGTTGATGGATATCGTTTTAATTTATGGAGAAGCAAGACAACATTTGTATTATAGTGTAGTATTTGTGTTATGGTGAAGCAAGACATCATTTGTGTTAGTTCGTAGAAAGTCGGACCCAAATGTGTACACGTGAGTGGATAAAATTTTGAACAATTGCTGTTGCAGCATCGGGTATGTCAAATGATTTTATTATTTAAAAACAAATTAATTTTATTAATAATTAATAAAGGCAAAAGCATTTGAATTTGCCGATATAAAATAGGTGCGATAAAATTCTATTTACATATTTCTTTCCTTACGAAAGTTTTTGTCCGTTTTTATCACGCCGCCATACCGGTCGCATTGTACGAGGTCAGGTTTTACAGTGGACCAGTTTCCAGTGCCGTGCAGATGTGTATTTTTAAATCAATTTCGAACTAACCTTTTTGATTTTTTCTTTACAAAATTGTATTTGTAAGGGTCCCCTGTACATCCAGAATATTTTTTTTAATAAGTTCTGAATCACCCTGTATTTAAATCTGGTCAAGAAACCCTGTCTATGAATAAATTACGTGATTTAAATAAAAAAATCGGGTTCTATTATCTTCTGACGTTAAAATTAGGTTAAAAATTTGGTTGAAAATGTACAAATGTTTAATGTTTTCACAACAATAAAGTATCCGCACAATTAATAATATTGAAAACATTGTTTACAATGAAAAATTGGGTACAAAATGTAAATTTTCATTGACCACTAGTATTATATGTAGTAGGTTATTTTTTTTTTCTTCATTTGTTTTAGAAAAACTGCTTTTTTTAAAAGTAAAAGCTACCAAATATAATTAAGACAATGTGTTATTTTGAATTTTTGTTCGAGATCCTGCTGCCGCATA